AAAATGAGACCTGCGATGTCCTGAGCTGGCTGGCAAGAAAAAAGTTCTTTGAGACTGAGTATGACATCCCAGCCTTTGCCATCTTGTTCATCTTTGTGGGTGGGTGCATACCTCAGCTCGAGGCATGTGCCAGACAGCTTCTCTTGGTAAGCAGCTGCCTTAATCCCAGCAACTCATGCAGTCCCCAAGCAGCACAGCCCTGGAGGAAGAATGCAGAGGGTGGCCACTCCATTTACATTCAGCTGGCAAGGGCAGCAACAGCAGCAAAGATACAGGAGCCCCAAGGAAACATTCCACGTGTAACCTCCCCTGGTTGCGAGACGACTTTCACAGCCATGCCACCACCCTGCCTAACACTAGCACAGTTCGACCAGCCTGGTCTCAGATGGTGTTTGTGGGATTTCCATGCCCTGTGTGACGTACAGCACTTCACGCAAAGTGCTGCGATGCTAATGGGGAAAAGGAGAGCAGACAGCCAAGAGGTTACTTGCTGAAACGTGGGGTGCTACCAGGCTGATGTAACTGCTTGCTTTTCTCCAGGGACTGTGCTTCTGCTGCTACTCCTGGTGCTTATCCGCTGCTGCGACTCCCCCAAACAACACAAGGTGATAAAACCCAGCCTACTCACCCAAGAATGACCCGGGACACACAGGAGCTCCCAAGGCTGAGGCCGGCTCTGCAGTATCTGTTGCTGGTTGAAATGGGGGGGCAGGGGAGGAAAGCAGGCAGAGCACTGGACAGACCCTGCTCTCCCCTGCAGGGACACACTCATGTCTCAGGTGTCCAGCTCCCACGTGGCAGGGAGACACATTCACACAGGGAAGGTGATGGGAAAGAGAGAACAGGCTGGATGTGGTTGGGCAGGCACAGATGTGCTCAGGACTGTTGCACTGTTCTGGGGGAGGGAAGCGGTACCTGGGCTTGAGCAAGGACAAAGCATGGAGACTATTTCAGTTTGTGTGTTCATGCACATCCAAACTCCTTCTCCTCCTCTTTACAATGACACATCCCTTTTCCAAAACAATTAGGTTCCCAGAAGGAAAGTGGGCATAGACAACCTATGGCTATGGAGCCCTAAGCCCACCTCCACCTCATGGCTGGACAGAACGACTCTGCCCGTTTCTTCCCTCTGCTGCACCTTAGAAATCAGACTCTTATCTTCACCTTGAGTGCCAGGAGCTGCCCAGCCACTTCCATCCTCCTCTACAACGTCAGCAACTGCCCTTTCTTTTCTCTGCACATGGATGAATGCAAACCCCTTGCACAGTACCTGCAATGCCAACCAATGCCAATACACCGACTCAAGTCAGTCCACCCCACAATCCCTGTACAATGCAGTACCTTAATGCAGACTTTTCAGCTACAAGCCACAGATCATCCTCAGCTACTGCAGCCAAAGTGGAGAACAGGTGCTCCCCCATGCAGAGCCAGCAGCCATGGGAACTGCCAGGGAGCGAGGGCAAGGAGAAAGCAGGAGAAACTATTCTTTCCCTCCAGCTAGAGACTGGAATAATTTTCCAAGCTCACACTTGCTGATCACCAAAACCTCACAATAAGATCCCTTCTGGGGAGGCCCAGCTGAATGGAAGGCCCAGCTATGCTTCTTTTCAGGGTTTTGGGCTCCAGCCCTTCCATTACAGGCGTAATTTCCAGCAGGACTGAAAGCAAAGCATAGAACTGTCCCTGGCTGTGAACATCCATTAAAAGAGGCAGCACAAGGCTCAAAAGATGCTTCAAAGCACAGCCACAGCTTCTGGGAAGCTTTTTAGTCCCTGTAGAGATGTTTGGAGCATGTCATCAGTAAGCCTTTACGTGCTGCATCAACTTGTAGAAATAGTTTGCCTCACTCCTCCCATGGGACATAAAAGCACATGAAGATGAAACTGCTCTGTGCAAGGGAGCAGCGGCTCCCTCCTCCCTATGGCCTTCGCAGAGGATGCTTGGGGCACCAAAGAGAAAGCTCTGGGCCAGCCTCTCCTGTGGAATCTCACCTACCTTGCTGTTACCCTGTTCTTCTATAACAGTAACCTAGGCAGTGTTCTGTAGCACCTACCACTGCCACCTAGCAGTCTTCATGACAGCCAGCGTGCATTAGAGCTGGAATCAGGACAGGTATTCCATTTTGCACACTCCTGCCCTCCAGAACTGAAGACGACTATTTTCATTCAGCAGAAAACAACTCTCACTGCGTTGCATGTTATATCCCTATCAGCAGGCAGCTGAGTTGGAGGGGATATGGCAACATTGACTGGATCGCATGCACTAGCGTGAATTAAAAAAGGAACCTACTCCACACACAGGGAGTGTTAAAGAAGAGCCCAGACAGCTCCAGAGAGGTTATTAACTATAAAAATACTCTCATCCGAGAAGCTGTTATTGGTGAGCAGTTCCACACATGCGCAATCACTTTCTAAGCAGAGAATGGTCTGGAACAGAGCAAGGGTTGGTAAATGCATACCCAGGGTCATGACCACAGCTAGTCATAAGACTAACTGACTGGAATCAGTAATGAGTCTGCTATTGCATCAGCCCATCCAGGCCTCTCTACCTTCCACCTTTCATTACTTACTAACAAACACATTCATCAGTCACAGCCTGATACTCATTTGTAGGCTCTCTTACTGCCTGCAGCCTTCATACTAGCATGCATTAGACCAAGCACAGTACCAAGTGTCAAGTCCTCAGAGGAGGCTGCAGCAGTAACAAGGCTGGCACTAACACACTCAGGATCCCAGGGATCTCACAAAGGGACAGAAAGGGAGGTTGCAGACAACACAGGCCACTCATGCCCATAGCTGAGGTCTATACAGAAAAAAAAAAAAATCAAAGCAAAATATCTACTTCTAGTCTCCATCCTTAGAGCTATTAAAAAGCCATCTGGGCATGGTCCTGGGAGACCAGCTTTGGGTGGCCCTGCTTAAGCAGGGGAATTGGACCAGATAGAACCCAGAGGTCCCCTTTCAACCTCAACTGTTCTGTGATCTCTTCCTTATGAGCGCATTGTTCTGGATAGCACTCCGAAAACACCAGGATCCTGGTGTTTCCCAACCATGCTGTCAAGATAAGCTCCAATGGCCCTGGTTTTGTAGGGACATTAGTGAGCCTGCGGTCCTGTGGCAGGCTGAACCTGGCTGGAGGCCAGGTGCCCACCAAAACAGAGTAGAGGAATGAGAAATAAAATAAAATCTAGAACACCTCCCCCCACCCCTCCCATCTTCCCGGGCTCAATTCACTCCCGGCTTCAACCTCTGCCCCCCCAGCAGCACAGGGGGACGGGGAGTGGGAGTTACGGTCAGTTCATGACACAGTGTTTCTGCCACTTCTTCATCCTCAGGGGGAGGACTCCTCTCATCATTCCCTTGCTCCAGCGTGGAGTCCCTCCCATGAGAGATAGTCCTCCACCAACTTCTCCAATGTGAGTCCTTCCCACAGGCTGCAGTCCTTCACGAACTGCTCCAGCGTGGGTCTCTCCCACAGGGTGCAGACCTTCAGGAGCAAACTGCTCCAGCGTGGGTCCCCCATGGGGTCACAAGTCCTGCCAGCAAACCTGCTCCAGCGTGGGCTCCCCTCTTCACGGGTCCGCAGGTCCTGCCAGGAGCTTGCTCTGGTGTGGGGTCCTCCATGGGCTGCAGGTGGAATCTCTACACCCCCTCATCCTTCCTCCATGGGCTGCAGGGGGACAGCCTGCCTCATCACGGGCTGCAGGGGGATCTCTGCTCCGGCACCTGGAGCACCTCCTGCCCCTCCTTCTGCACTGACCTGGGTGTCTGCAGTTTCTCACATCTCACTCCTCTCTCTGGCTGCAAAAGCTCTCCGAGGTTGTTTTTTTTT